GCCCCTCTGGTGACATACGATTTTGTGCACCAAGTCCTATGCATGTATGTACTGTAATGTACCGTACTGTAATGTAATGTAATGTACTGTAGTGTAATGTAATGTAATGTATTGTACTTTACTGTAAGTATGTAGGTTCTGATGACTTAGGACTTGTGCCCCTCTGGTGACATACGATTTTTGTGCACCAAACCCTATGCATGTATGTACTGTAATGTACTGTACTGTAATGTAATGTACTGTAGTGTAATGTAATGTACTGCACTTTACTGCAATGTAATGTAATGTACTGTAGTGTAATGTACTGTACTGTACTGTAATGTACTGTAAGGATGTAGGTCCTGATGACTTAGGACTTGTGCCCCTCTGGTGACATACGATTTTGTGCACCAAGTCCTATGCATGTATGTACTGTAATGTACCGTACTGTAATGTAATGTAATGTACTGTAGTGTAATGTAATGTAATGTATTGTACTTTACTGTAAGTATGTAGGTTCTGATGACTTAGGACTTGTGCCCCTCTAGTGACATACGATTTTGTGCACCAAGTCCTATGCATGTATGTACTGTAATGTACCGTACTGTAATGTAATGTAATGTACTGCAGTGTAATGTAATGTAATGTATTGTACTTTACTGTAAGTATGTAGGTTCTGATGACTTAGGACTTGTGCCCCTCTGGTGACATACGATTTTGTGCACCAAGTCCTATGCATGTATGTACTGTAATGTACCGTACTGTAATGTAATGTACTGTACTGTAGTGTAATGTAATGTAATGTATTGTACTTTACTGTAAGTATGTAGGTTCTGATGACTTAGGACTTGTGCCCCTCTGGTGACATACGATTTTTGTGCACCAAACCCTATGCATGTATGTACTGTAATGTACTGTACTGTAATGTAATGTACTGTAGTGTAATGTAATGTACTGCACTTTACTGCAATGTAATGTAATGTACTGTAGTGTAATGTACTGTACTGTACTGTAATGTACTGTAAGTATGTAGGTCCTGATGACTTAGGACTTGTGCCCCTCTAGTGACATACGATTTTGTGCACCAAGTCCTATGCATGTATGTACTGTAATGTACCGTACTGTAATGTAATGTAATGTACTGTAGTGTAATGTAATGTAATGTATTGTACTTTACTGTAAGTATGTAGGTTCTGATGACTTAGGACTTGTGCCCCTCTGGTGACATACGATTTTTGTGCACCAAACCCTATGCATGTATGTACTGTAATGTACTGTACTGTAATGTAATGTAATGTAATGTACTGTAGTGTAATGTAATGTACTGCACTTTACTGTAATGTAATGTACTGTAGTGTGATGTAATGTACTGTACTTTACTGTAAGGTAATGTAATGTACTGTAGTGTAATGTACTGTACTGTACTGTAATGTTCTGTAAGTATGTAGGTTTTGGTGACTTAGGACTTGTGCCCCTCTAGTGACATACGATTTTGTGCACCAAGTCCTGTGCATGTATGTAATATACTGTACTGTAATGTGCTGTAATGTAATGTAATGTACTGTAGTGTAATGTAATGTACTGTACTTTACTGTATTGTAGTGATGTAATGTACTGTACTGTAATGTTCTGTAAGTATGTAGATTCTGATGACTTATTCAGAGAAGATTTTTTTTTTTTAAACTTAAAAAGTGCTTGAATCCAATCACAACCCCAGTGACTTAGGACTTGGTGCACACAAATCACCTGGTAAGAACACCAGTGACTTAGGACTTGGTGCACAAATTCCTATGTCACTATGGTGGCCTAAGTCCTAAGTCACCAGTCCGAAATATAGTGCAGGGTTTTTCGAACAACCTCACAAACAGTTGTGCAGAACCCTCTTTTGACAAAGCCAGCTCTTCTTCTTAAAAAACGGAAAGCCGTTCCTTTTTTGTTTATGTTTTGATGCTGCTGTTGTTTTTCATACCCTTGAAAACACGCACAAATCGAGTTTGGCTTTTTCAAGATTCTCATGACAGCATGAATGACTTGCACAAAGAAGTGTAACTAGGAGTAGTCTCACTCCTTCATTTTACATTGTTGTACACCAAGAACTCCGATGCACTTGTTGCCACCATCAGAATCAATCCTCCAAAGGGAGGGTGGGTGGGATCTCGGTCTTTTGTAGCTCCGGAATTTTTAGCCCCCCGCCCCCACTACAAAGTACAGGAGAAAGCTCTTTTTTATTCAACATGGAGAAAACTCCTTCTTACCCCTATTTCTGTTTTTGGAGAAAACTCCTTTCATTTCCGATTTTTAACCACTGCAATTGCATCAATAACTTTTGCAGACAGGTTTCTTGTACAGGGTTCCGCTTTGTTTCTCCAAAGCTAACCTCAATTTTTCTAATACCCCCGAAAGCGGGCGGTCACACCTTCCCAAATACTAGTGAAAAGAGACCGCTGAATTAAATTGACTGGATACAGATCCTATACATATATGTATATACCAAAGGATATATACTTTGGTTTTTTGTAATAATAAGTTTCGGTGCGAAATTTTTTGTTTGGGTTCTGTTGTTCTTTCAACTTTGCACTGGATGGTTTTGCATGCGGTTTTATTGTCTAGGAAATAAGAAAAAGAAGAGCGCAACATTTTCAGTTTCAAGCGTTGCATTTGGGGGAAAAACTTCTGTTTATCATGCTTTGCGACGCGTTATTTTTTTCCAACGCGTTTACATGCATGTCATGGTTGCTTGAACTCGTTGGCCACAATGTCGCATTCGCAATTTGGCGGAACACGGTTTAAGTAAGACAAAATGTTGAAACTCTCATTCGGCTGATTTGACTGCATTGTTCACTGCGCTGCGAACGTATCTGAATCGCAAGGGCTGTGCAAATGAGAGCTCGCCGTGTTACTTTTCCTGATTTGAGGCAGGGTTCCGCAGATGTTGGATGGAAATGATGGCATGTTCACCTACGCATGAAGAGCGGGCAAAGGCCCACTATTTTTCATTTTGAAAGCAAACCACTACAATGCTTGTTTGGTTTCATCATTCATTCTTTTTTGGTTTTCTTTCCACACTTGTGCGGCAATGAATTTCTCCAGGTACATGTCTTGAAAACCAAAAGTAGACCCGGTCTTGTCTGATTCGTAGGCAGGTCTAATTTAGAGATGATCAAAATTTCTTTGCAGAGCTACGGGTTTCGAAATGGTTGCCATGGACTTGCTGGTGGACGCTGCTTGGAGAACAACATCTTAGCAATGCATATTAGGACACTTTGTTGCCTTCTGGTATATCTTCTTGTTTATGCTTCTTGAAGCTGGCTTTGACAATGGTGCTGTTTTACTACTTCTGGTCAGAACCCAAAAAGGGAAATGGCTGGAGGAAAGATCTAAGTCTTTTGTAAATCGCTGAATCATACTGACGTTGTTGATTTTGTGACTCGTTAAAACTCCACTCCGATCCAGGCCATCGCTTGCGACACAGCGCTGCTGAACAAAAGATGCGCGGTGCTTTCTGCATGGGGCTTGCGTTGCTTGATTGCTTGATTGCTTGATTGCTTGATTGCTTGCTCGATGGTTCTGCGGGTTCATTCCGATCCGGCATTGGATTTGAGGCTTTCAAGTGGCAGACTTATGAAAAGCATTAGCAAGGTGGGTCCACTGCAGATCGTCACGGCTCACACAGTGTAGAGCAGTAGCAGACCATGCAGCCACGGCCACCACCTACGACAGCTCAGCTTGCTCTGCAGCCACATCTTCCATCGCTCCATGGCAGCCAATCTTTACATGCTTTGGTGCAGGCCATGCAAAACCACCCAGAAGATGCTGAAAAGCAGCTATTCGGCGTGATCAGCTTCGCTGCTGTTTGCAGTGGTGCTGATTTGGAGTGCAAAGGCCGAGCAATGGATGCAGGGGCTTTTGAGGCGTTGCTTCATGCTTTGCGCTACCATGGTCATGTCCCCTCCATGCAAGAATGGATTGCCCGCTGTTTTGAGAGCCTCCCAGAAGCTTTGTGGAGCTTTATTCAGACCCTGAAACGGGATCCCCAAGATGTTGAGTTGCAGATTCTAGGTGGCATGTGTTTGGCAAGACTCCACAAACCAGAGTGTCATGAGGCTGCTGCAGACGCTGGTGTTTGTGAGGCTTTTGTCCAAGCAATGCGCTTGCACGCCGATGACAATGAAGTGCAAAATGCTGCAGCAATTGGTCTTCGTGCAAACTGTCTTGGTCCAACTTCCGAGCCACTACCGCCCAAGGTAGCCAACAAAACAACCAAGTTGGCATTGGGTCATGGTGCCGTGGATGCCCTTGTGGAAGCCGCCCAAATGCATTCCGAAGACTTCGACGTGTTATACAATTGCACTCTTGCGCTTGGCAGTATTGTTAGATTCAGAGCGCAGGAATGCCGCAAGCATGCGGGTGAGATCGTCCAGGTCATGTTACGCGCATTGAAGAGCCCTCGTCAAGATTTCAGGGTGACATTTGTGGCCAAGATGTGTCTCAAAGATGTTCCAGGTGCTTTGTGCAGCCTCGTGGAAACCATGAATTCTGCCCCTGCCGATGTCGATGTGCAACATTGGAGCTCGTGGTGGTTGGCAGAGGTATTCTCTGCGGATATCACTGGTCCCCTCATTGTCGACTATCCAACTACCTGTGTTTTGCACGCCTTGGTTTGTGCTATGCGAAACCACCCCACACGCACTCACGTGCAGACTCATGCAGCTGCTGCACTAGGCGCCATTTGTGCAGGGTGGGACTCAGATGCACTCGAGCGTCAGAGGAATGCTGTGGATGCTGGTGCTTTGCAAGTTGTAGTGCAGGCCTTGGTCTAAGTGACAGAGTCAGGTTTTTTGTGTTTAACACGCTGTTGTTGCTTTGATCCATGCTCAATCAATATGATACAACGTGATGCAAGGTGTTCCTTTGGAAAGCAACATGCTGCGTGTGCTTTGAACCCTGTCCAGGCCATGAGAAGCCATTCATATGATGCAAAGGTGCAGGCTGCCAGCGCCCGCTGCTTTACGAGGATTTCTATAGCTCACGCCGCTGGAACGGCTGACGTTTTGCAGATGATGCTCCATACTTACCATGCTCATCATCGAGATGCTGAAGCACGCAAATGGATAGCCTTGGGAGTTGCAATGTTGCAAGGCGTAGCAGTTGCACATCCCGAAGTCTCCCATATTCTGTGCCAAGTCATCCAAGACTATCCTCGGGATGCGGAAGTGCAATACATAGCTTCGCTGGGAATGGCAAATGTTGCATTTGGTTTGCCGCCTGCTGTGGGTGTGTCAGCCTGAGAGATTGTTTGAACACTGTCAATGTCTTTTCTGTGAGCCCTGCATTGACCTGCAATCCGCTTCCTGTAGCCCAAAATGCATCACTCATTGCCCATTGCCTCAACTCCACATGGTTCGCTTGGTGCAAGGTCAGAGGAGTCTCACCTTGGCTAGCAAAGAGGCATGAAAAGACAAATCAATTGGAAGATCAGGCTAGCAAGCGCATCGTCAGAAAGGCATTGATGATAGATGCCTCTTACTGTAACTGGTTGTGCAAAAGGTTCCAGAGACTTCGCCCTCATGTCAGCAGGTACGGGTGCTTAGCAAGTAAGATTGTGGCAGCGTTTTCTTGCAGTTGTCTGAAGTCACGTGCAAAGTTGTGATCCGTTCAAAGCAACATGGAGATCCAAAGAAATCAAGAGTTTAAGGTGGAACGACTTGCAAAAGATGAAGCAATCCAAGAGGTGCTGGGACTAGCCAACATGAGTGGATGCATTTACAGCTTCCATTTGCTCTGCTTTCTTTCCTTGCTTCAGCTCCCTTGTTTTAGGTGGAAGACGTCACAGTTGAGGCCAGATCTGTTGTTGCCAGAGAAGGGCATGCGCAGAATCACTGGATAAAGTGGCATTGAACTTGTCAACTTGTGCAAAAGGTTCCAGAGACTTCGCCCTCATGTCAGCAGGTACGGGTGCTTAGCAAGTAAGATTGTGGCTGCGTTTTCTTGCAGTTGTCTGAAGTCACATGCAAAGTTGTGATCCGTTCAAAGCAACATGGAGATCCAAAGAAATCAAGAGTTTAAGGTGGAACGACTTGCAAAAGATGAAGCAATCCAAGAGGTGCTGGGACTAGCCAACATGAGTGGATGCATTTACAGCTTCCATTTGCTCTGCTTTCTTTCCTTGCTTCAGCTCCCTTGCTTTAGGTGGAAGACGTCACAGTTGAGGCCAGATCTGTTGTTGCCAGAGAAGGGCATGCGCAGAATCACTGGATAAAGTGGCATTGAACTGGTCAACTTGTGCAAAAGGTTCCAGAGACTTCGCCCTCATGTCAGCAGGTACGGGTGCTTAGCAAGTAAGATTGTGGCAGCGTTTTCTTGCAGTTGTCTGAAGTCACGTGCAAAGTTGTGATCAGTTCAAAGCAACATGGAGATCCAAAGAAATCAAGAGTTCAAGGTGGAACGACTTGCAAAAGATGAAGCAATCCAAGAGGTGCTGGGACTAGCCAACACGAGTGGATGCATTTAAAGCTTCCATTTGCTCTGCTTTCTTTCCTTGCTTCAGCTCCCTTGTTTTAGGTGGAAGACGTCACAGTTGAGGCCAGATCTGTAGTTGCCAGAGAAGGGCATGCGCAGAATCACTGGACAAAGTGGCATTGAACTGGTCAACTTGTGCAAAAGGTTCCAGAGACTTCGCCCTCATGTCACCAGGTACGGGTGCTTAGCAAGTAAGAGTGTGGCAGCGTTTTCTTGCAGTTGTCTGAAGTCACGTGCAAAGTTGTGATCCGTTCAAAGCAACATGGAGATCCAAAGAAATCAAGAGTTCAAGGTGGAACGACTTGCAAAAGATGAAGCAGTCCAAGAGGTGCTGGGACTAGCCAACGCGAGTGGATGCATTTACAGCTTCCATTTGCTCTGCTTTCTTTCCTTGCTTCAGCTCCCTTGTTTTAGGTGGAAGACGTCACAGTTGAGGCCAGATCTGTTGTTGCCAGAGAAGGGCATGCGCAGAATCACTGGACAAAGTGGCATTGAACTGGTCAACTTGTGCAAAAGGTTCCAGAGACTTCGCCCTCATGTCAGCAGGTACGGGTGCTCAGCAACTAAGATTGTGGCAGCGTTTTCTTGCAGTTGTCTGAAGTCACGTGCAAAGTTGTGATCAGTTCAAAGCAACATGGAGATCCAAAGAAATCAAGAGTTCAAGGTGGAACGACTTGCAAAAGATGAAGCAATCCAAGAGGTGCTGGGACTAGCCAACACGAGTGGATGCATTTAAAGCTTCCATTTGCTCTGCTTTCTTTCCTTGCTTCAGCTCCCTTGTTCTAGGTGGAAGACGTCACAGTTGAGGCCAGATCTGTTGTTGCCAGAGAAGGGCATGCGCAGAATCACTGGACAAAGTGGCATTGAACTTGTCAACTTGTGCAAAAGGTTCCAGAGACTTCGCCCTCATGTCACCAGGTACGGGTGCTTAGCAAGTAAGAGTGTGGCAGCGTTTTCTTGCAGTTGTCTGAAGTCACGTGCAAAGTTGTGATCCGTTCAAAGCAACATGGAGATCCAAAGAAATCAAGAGTTCAAGGTGGAACGACTTGCAAAAGATGAAGCCATCCAAGAGGTGCTGGGACTAGCCAACACGAGTGGATGCATTTACAGCTTCCATTTGCTCTGCTTTCTTTCCTTGCTTCAGCTCCCTTGTTTTAGGTGGAAGACGTCACAGTTGAGGCCAGATCTGTAGTTGCCAGAGAAGGGCATGCGCAGAATCACTGGACAAAGTGGCATTGAACTGGTCAACTTGTGCAAAAGGTTCCAGAGACTTCGCCCTCATGTCAGCAGGTACGGGTGCTTAGCAAGTAAGATTGTGGCAGCGTTTTCTTGCAGTTGTCTGAAGTCACGTGCAAAGTTGTGATCAATTCAAAGCAACATGGAGATCCAAAGAAATCAAGAGTTCAAGGTGGAACGACTTGCAAAAGATGAAGCAATCCAAGAGGTGCTGGGACTAGCCAACACGAGTGGATGCATTTACAGCTTCCATTTGCTTTGCTTTCTTTCCTTGCTTCAGCTCCCTTGTTCTAGGTGGAAGACGTCACAGTTGAGGCCAGATCTGTTGTTGCCAGAGAAGGGCATGCGCAGAATCACTGGACAAAATGGCATTGAACTGGTCAACTTGTGCAAAAGGTTCCAGAGACTTCGCCCTCATGTCAGCAGGTACGGGTGCTCAGCAAGTAAGATTGTGGCAGCGTTTTCTTGCAGTTGTCTGAAGTCACGTGCAAAGTTGTGATCCGTTCAAAGCAACATGGAGATCCAAAGAAATCAAGAGTTCAAGGTGGAACGACTTGCAAAAGATGAAGCAATCCAAGAGGTGCTGGGACTAGCCAACACGAGTGGATGCATTTAAAGCTTCCATTTGCTCTGCTTTCTTTCCTTGCTTCAGCTCCCTTGTTTTAGGTGGAAGACGTCACAGTTGAGGCCAGATCTGTAGTTGCCAGAGAAGGGCATGCGCAGAATCACTGGACAAAGTGGCATTGAACTGGTCAACTTGTGCAAAAGGTTCCAGAGACTTCGCCCTCATGTCAGCAGGTACGGGTGCTCAGCAAGTAAGATTGTGGCAGCGTTTTCTTGCAGTTGTCTGAAGTCACGTGCAAAGTTGTGATCCGTTCAAAGCAACATGGAGATCCAAAGAAATCAAGAGTTTAAGGTGGAACGACTTGCAAAAGATGAAGCAATCCAAGAGGTGCTGGGACTAGCCAGCGCGAGTGGATGCATTTACAGCTTCCATTTGCTCTGCTTTCTTTCCTTGCTTCAGCTCCCTTGTTTTAGGTGGAAGACGTCACAGTTGAGGCCAGATCTGTAGTTGCCAGAGAAGGGCATGCGCAGAATCACTGGACAAAGTGGCATTGAACTGGTCAACTTGTGCAAAAGGTTCCAGAGACTTCGCCCTCATGTCAGCAGGTACGGGTGCTTAGCAAGTAAGATTGTGGCAGCGTTTTCTTGCAGTTGTCTGAAGTCACGTGCAAAGTTGTGATCAATTCAAAGCAACATGGAGATCCAAAGAAATCAAGAGTTCAAGGTGGAACGACTTGCAAAAGATGAAGCAATCCAAGAGGTGCTGGGACTAGCCAACACGAGTGGATGCATTTACAGCTTCCATTTGCTCTGCTTTCTTTCCTTGCTTCAGCTCCCTTGTTCTAGGTGGAAGACGTCACAGTTGAGGCCAGATCTGTTGTTGCCAGAGAAGGGCATGCGCAGAATCACTGGACAAAGTGGCATTGAACTGGTCAACTTGTGCAAAAGGTTCCAGAGACTTCGCCCTCATGTCAGCAGGTACGGGTGCTTAGCAAGTAAGATTGTGGCAGCGTTTTCTTGCAGTTGTCTGAAGTCACGTGCAAAGTTGTGATCCGTTCAAAGCAACATGGAGATCCAAAGAAATCAAGAGTTCAAGGTGGAACGACTTGCAAAAGATGAAGCAATCCAAGAGGTGCTGGGACTAGCCAACACGAGTGGATGCATTTACAGCTTCCATTTGCTCTGCTTTCTTTCCTTGCTTCAGCTCCCTTGTTTTAGGTGGAAGACGTCACAGTTGAGGCCAGATCTGTTGTTGCCAGAGAAGGGCATGCGCAGAATCACTGGACAAAGTGGCATTGAACTGGTCAACTTGTGCAAAAGGTTCCAGAGACTTCGCCCTCATGTCAGCAGGTACGGGTGCTTAGCAAGTAAGATTGTGGCAGCGTTTTCTTGCAGTTGTCTGAAGTCACGTGCAAAGTTGTGATCAGTTCAAAGCAACATGGAGATCCAAAGAAATCAAGAGTTCAAGGTGGAACGACTTGCAAAAGATGAAGCAATCCAAGAGGTGCTGGGACTAGCCAACACGAGTGGATGCATTTACAGCTTCCATTTGCTCTGCTTTCTTTCCTTGCTTCAGCTCCCTTGTTTTAGGTGGAAGACGTCACAGTTGAGGCCAGATCTGTTGTTGCCAGAGAAGGGCATGCGCAGAATCACTGGACAAAGTGGCATTGAACTGGTCAACTTGTGCAAAAGGTTCCAGAGACTTCGCCCTCATGTCAGCAGGTACGGGTGCTCAGCAAGTAAGATTGTGGCAGCGTTTTCTTGCAGTTGTCTGAAGTCACGTGCAAAGTTGTGATCCGTTCAAAGCAACATGGAGATCCAAAGAAATCAAGAGTTCAAGGTGGAACGACTTGCAAAAGATGAAGCAATCCAAGAGGTGCTGGGACTAGCCAGCGCGAGTGGATGCATTTACAGCTTCCATTTGCTCTGCTTTCTTTCCTTGCTTCAGCTCCCTTGTTTTAGGTGGAAGACGTCACAGTTGAGGCCAGATCTGTTGTTGCCAGAGAAGGGCATGCGCAGAATCACTGGACAAAGTGGCATTGAACTGGTCAACTTGTGCAAAAGGTTCCAGAGACTTCGCCCTCATGTCAGCAGGTACGGGTGCTTAGCAAGTAAGATTGTGGCAGCGTTTTCTTGCATTTGTCTGAAGTCACGTGCAAAGTTGTCATCAGTTCAAAGCAACATGGAGATCCAAAGAAATCAAGACTTCAAGGTGGAACGACTTGCAAAAGATGAAGCAATCCAAGAGGTGCTGGGACTAGCCAACACGAGTGGATGCATTTACAGCTTCCATTTGCTTTGCTTTCTTTCCTTGCTTCAGCTCCCTTGTTCTAGGTGGAAGACGTCACAGTTGAGGCCAGATCTGTTGTTGCCAGAGAAGGGCATGCGCAGAATCACTGGACAAAGTGGCATTGAACTGGTCAACTTGTGCAAAAGGTTCCAGAGACTTCGCCCTCATGTCAGCAGGTACGGGTGCTCAGCAAGTAAGATTGTGGCAGCGTTTTCTTGCAGTTGTCTGAAGTCACGTGCAAAGTTGTGATCCGTTCAAAGCAACATGGAGATCCAAAGAAATCAAGAGTTTAAGGTGGAACGACTTGCAAAAGATGAAGCAATCCAAGAGGTGCTGGGACTAGCCAACACGAGTGGATGCATTTACAGCTTCCATTTGCTCTGCTTTCTTTCCTTGCTTCAGCTCCCTTGTTTTAGGTGGAAGACGTCACAGTTGAGGCCAGATCTGTTGTTGCCAGAGAAGGGCATGCGCAGAATCACTGGACAAAGTGGCATTGAACTGGTCAACTTGTGCAAAAGGTTCCAGAGACTTCGCCCTCATGTCACCAGGTACGGGTGCTTAGCAAGTAAGAGTGTGGCAGCGTTTTCTTGCAGTTGTCTGAAGTCACGTGCAAAGTTGTGATCAGTTCAAAGCAACATGGAGATCCAAAGAAATCAAGAGTTCAAGGTGGAACGACTTGCAAAAGATGAAGCAGTCCAAGAGGTGCTGGGACTAGCCAACGCGAGTGGATGCATTTACAGCTTCCATTTGCTCTGCTTTCTTTCCTTGCTTCAGCTCCCTTGTTTTAGGTGGAAGACGTCACAGTTGAGGCCAGATCTGTAGTTGCCAGAGAAGGGCATGCGCAGAATCACTGGACAAAGTGGCATTGAACTGGTCAACTTGTGCAAAAGGTTCCAGAGACTTCGCCCTCATGTCAGCAGGTACGGGTGCTCAGCAACTAAGATTGTGGCAGCGTTTTCTTGCAGTTGTCTGAAGTCACGTGCAAAGTTGTGATCCGTTCAAAGCAACATGGAGATCCAAAGAAATCAAGAGTTTAAGGTGGAACGACTTGCAAAAGATGAAGCAATCCAAGAGGTGCTGGGACTAGCCAGCGCGAGTGGATGCATTTACAGCTTCCATTTGCTCTGCTTTCTTTCCTTGCTTCAGCTCCCTTGTTTTAGGTGGAAGACGTCACAGTTGAGGCCAGATCTGTTGTTGCCAGAGAAGGGCATGCGCAGAATCACTGGACAAAGTGGCATTGAACGGTCAACTTGTGCAAAAGGTTCCAGAGACTTTGCCCTCATGGCAGATGCAGGTGCTTACTTCATTGCTGATAAGATCTTTCAAGCCTGTTTTTGAAGGCATTTCTTTTTGATTTCCATTAACCGGCCTTTCTTAACATTTTTCAACCAGCATGAAATCATTGCAGCCGAGGACTACCACGGCTCTCTTGCCTTATGGATGGTTGTGGCTTAGTGATCTTTGCTTCATCCTGTGTGAAGCACCTATAGTTTCTGGGTTCAGTAAAGGTGATTCTTCTCGGACTTGCTGCGGGATACATCCGAGACCAAGGCATGCCCAACGCTGGTGGGTGGATGACAAGATGCACTTTTCAAGAGATCTCACACGGTTCCATCAAGAGATGTTTATAGGACGGTTGCAAGGAAGGCAACAAGCATGGACTCTCTCAACCTGGAAGATTCGAAGGATATCTGCTTGAGAAGCAAACGCAAGTGATGATGTCCGAGCATCAATGAACAGTGTAAATACCTGGCTATGAACATTCTATGAACCATAGTCTAGGTAAGCCTAACTTGATGTTTTCTTGTTGTGCGTCCCCGAAGATTTGGCCGAGAAGATTTGACCAAGCTCACTTTTTGGCTTCCTGGCCCCAAATCCTGAAAATTCTTCGAAGTTTCTGTGCGAGACCGCATGTCCCCAATGCCTGGGTTTCTCTTTTGCTTCAGACCGAGCCAAATTCAGCACGAGATGGAACCATTGTCAATAGGAAGAAGGCAGTGAACAAATTGGAATCCCAAAACGAGGCTGTTGGCTAGTTGATGACCCTTATGTTTTGTCACAGTTTTCATTTTAATTGGCATTTTAGTTCTCGTTTTTGGCTACATTGTTTGGGGGAGGGGTCCGACTGCATTCAGAACATCATCTTCCTCGCCACAATCCACTGCAGCGCATTCGCCTTTTTGGATTGTAGCTTTGTAGTTGTCAATGCTACATCTGAAGCCTTTTGCAAATGAGTTACATGATTTACTCTCCTGGCTCTGAAAAAAACAAAGCATAACTGAATCAATCCGCTAGTGATTTAGCTTTCTGCAGGCGCTTGGAGCAGAGGCACAGCGTCCCGGAGGCCAGCTGAGAGGACTTGGGATTTCAGCTGTTCGATTCCTTGCATTAAAAACGGGAATTTGGATACTTTGGTAAGTGAGCTGAGGTCTGCCTCTGACAGCAACATGACTGTCGTGCAGGTGGGAACCTTGGTTCACAGCATTTTTGTGACTCGTAGCTCCTTGCCAAGGATGGGGAGTCCACGATTTGTGCAGAAGGCAAGGAGTACTTCTACGTTTACTTTCATGTTACACTGCGTGACTTCCAGTTTGGTATGTCTTTGTTTCCAGCTGCGGAATGGGTTCTTGCTGTGTGCATTCACGTATGAGCTGCGTGGGTTGGACGCATCTTTTCGCTCTGATGTAGAGGCTGTAACAATACTTGCCGCGATTTGGCAACAGTCACCTGGAAGCACAGTGTGAATGAACTGGTATGAACTGGTGAGGGTTCAAGACTTCGAGACAGCTTTGAAACACACTGATATTTCCTTTCGAGTGTTGAACCTTAACAAGAAACAAACATATTTTTTTGAAAAAGCTTGGCCTGCAGGTGATGCGACACCTGCCCAGTTGTGAGGGGATCCTCGGCAGCGACTGGACCAAGTGGAGCGGAGCATGCTCCTGGGGAAGAGTTCGCAGCAGGCCCAGATCTTTTGATCTGTGTTTCATTGATTGCAAGTGTGTTGGCGTCTGTTTGTGGCACCTCATTGTTAGAAATCGATGAGTTGAGCAGCCAGGTGTCCAGTCCAGATGCCCGCTACCACCATCGAAATCCAGGTTAGGTTGACAGGTCTCAAAAAATCTCTTGAAGTTTCAGGATGTGTCCAAATGGGCTGCTGCTGTGTGTTGGTCCAGTTCAATCCTTTGACATGGTGCAAACAGTTTTGCCATCGCTTGTGGAACTGAAACCGAACGCTGAAAACAGGTGCTTCCGATCAATATCAGCCAGGAAGAGCATCTCCTGCAGGCAGAGTTTCACTTGAAAGATGTTGGGATGTTGACATGAGAGGTTCCTTTCTAAAAAGAGCCCACCGTGTTTCTAGAGCAGTTCGTTCATCCAAGAAAGTTCCAATTTTTCAAAAATCATCCTTGTTTGGATATTGTGGAAGGCAGAAGAGCACGGACGAGCTAGAGACGAGTCGCCAAAGAATACTTCCAGTTAGTTGCCGTTTCTTGTGACATACTCAATGCTGTGTTCTGAAAGGATTCAGCAGTGTAGGTTCTGGATGCTGTGCGCAGCATCATCCGTCATGGATTTGGCGTTGAGTGCTCAGATGCCATTTTGAGCTGTTGGTTTTTCTTTCTTCGCGCAGCAACATGTCAGCGCATGCCGTCATCACAGGCTCCTGCCGCTGACCGCAAAGCTTCTGTGAATAAGACAAGGGTGGTGAGCGCAAAGCTGTGAGCCGAATTCAATGCAAAAGAAGATCTTACACCAACAATTCAGGATTGAATCTTCCAGTGCCAGTCACATCATTTGTTGCTTTAAGCTCTGTGCACGTGCCTGGGAAAAAGGTATATGCGGAGGCTTTGACCAATCCAGCCACGCGATACACCAAGGTCTTTTTTTGGTACACATGCTCGAAGAAACTGGTGGCATCACGGAATTTGAAGCAAACTTTCGCAGTTCCTTTCAAAAAACAGATGGCTGTTGTTAGATTCAGCCAACAGGGCTTTTCCTTTCGCACCTTTCTTCACTTGTGTTTTGGCCTTTGGGAGTGACAGCAAGACAGTTGCAAGCTGCTAAGCAGTCTTGTCACGGTCTGACGGGTGCAATGCAAGGAACTTGCACACAGCAACTTTCAAATGCACATGGCCTTGGCTGTCTATTTCGTTCTCACACTTTGCACCTCAGCTCTATGCCAATGAAAAGCAGAATGGTGAGTAGGGCCTGTTGTCCATCCTGACTTGCTTGGTTTCTTTGGCCTGTTTTGTTTGTCGCAAACAGTACTTGACCATGAGTTTTGTGTAGGACTCTTTACAAAAGGAGTGGGCGTCGTACTCTGGGCTGATGCAAGTGTGTCATCTGCATTTTGCAGGGTCCCTGCACAAATCAGCTCGGAGTTTATGCAGAAGTTGTCCGGCAAGGCAGCTGTCAAGATTGGCAGATGAATCCAGACAAGACTAGACAAGACCACATCGACGCATCATTTAGTTTGAAGCCTGTTGGACATGCCATTCATTGAAACCTTTTTGTCTGTTTTAGCACGGGCGAACTAGTCTGGCCATGATCTCTTGCGTGCTTTTGGTCTTGCACCTCAAAGCACGGAACCTAAAATGTTTTGATTTGCGCTTGTGTGGGCGTATTGACAGCATTTGTGAAACCAATGCAGTGTTGCAAAGGCCCGAGCAGCCGCTGCCAAGCAAGCAAGGCGCGCACTCAGAGAAGGTACACCAAAACTAATCTGACCCACAAGTGTTGTGCAAAGAACCCTCCTGAGCGAGCGAGAGCCGGGGGATGGGCACGGAAAAGTGAAACAGGCGAACTGGCTGTCACTGCCAACGAGCAAGACATCAGATGCACTGACACACGAGAATAAGTTCTGTCGCCTACTTGTTTGCCAAAGCCACACCTCCCTATATGACTGATGTCTGGCAGTTCAGTTGCGTGCGGTGTCTTTGTTGTTCTTACCCCCACAAAGTGCAATCATTGCGCCTTGCGTGCATTCCTCCAAGTAGATGGTAGGAAAAACCAACAAGGATTTGAGGAGCAGGATCAGGCGGGCTTTTTTCCTCACGCTCACCTGCAATGCTGTCTTTGATTAGCATGCACATCCCAAGCTATGTCTTGTCGCGGAGGAAGCACATGTCCTTGAAGCGCCTCCTCTACCTGTGTCACCTCAGATATTCAGACAGGCGCTGGGCCTCCAGTAATACGCTTTTGAACCCAACTAGCCCAACCGTTTCACATGGATTGGCACATATCGAGTGCGCCATGAAGTGGAGGAGTCTTCAGCAGAAGCAGGCTGCAAGGTTACAAAGAAGACAAAAGGGACAGCCAAAGCAGTGGTGCGGGGCATAGCCTTTCATGCGTTTTAGCCGCGGCTGGTAAAAGGTGGCCTAGCCTGTGCTGCATTTGCATTGCGTACTCAGCTTGAGCTCTTTCGGGGGGAAGTGTGCTTGTGCCGATTCCTGTAAGAGCTTTTGTCCACATGTAGGTTTCAAGAGAGAGCGTACCCTCCAAACTGACTGCAACATGCTCACATGGTTTGCAGTCTTGTCTGCGTGCAAATGAAGGATGCGCTTGTTAAACTTCTCCACCACAGGCGAGGATTGTGGATGAGAAGAAGCGCTTCAAAATCAAGTGGCGTGGTTATCAGGTCTGAGAGACTTGTTTGGGATTGAGTGTTGACAAGCGTTTGGACATCACCATAGCTGCCCTTGGAGATGACAGGCGCAAATTGTCAAGAGCGTCCCGCGTGCGAAGGAAATAGCGACGAAGTGTACGGAACCCGAGATGGCAATGATGACTTCAGAAATGCGGTGTTGGATTCGATGCAGACTCAGGCTTCCAACTTGCGCGGCAAGGACGGCGGAAGAAGGCTGTGGAAAAATTGAAGGAGATTGTTTGTGCATTTTCCTCCCATGCTGATTCATGCTGGAAACAACACATCAATGCGAGCCATTCCCGGGCCAGGAAAGGCTGAAGGCGAGCTAGTGAACTCTGAAGGCGGTTGTAGAAGGCAACCATTGCAAATGCAATGTGCCCAAAGGGCACTCTTGGCTGAGCGAAGCCTATGTGCTTTTGCAGTGGCTTTACAGACCTGAAAGGGTTCTGTTGTGCGCAACGGCCAAAGGCTGGCAAATAACGCGCAGGCTGAGATAGTGGGGCGCTTAATTCGTCAAGCCATGTTTTTGACTACATTTGTATCAGTTTTACAGTTGATTGAGTCAAGCTTATTTCTTTTGTAGGCCTTCTCATGCCCTGCATTCAAGACACCTTTGCTCAAGCGGATCTCTGGAGTCAACCAGGTACCAGCAAACATGTCTCGCACATCGCATGCTGCACATGGAATGCAACACAATTTATAATGCGTAGTGTACACAGTTTCTCCTGATGGCACATACATGTCAAAAGGTGTACGTAGACTGCAACTTAAAACCATATATGATGCATTAACAAATTTTAACCAAAGGAACTATTGAACTATGATAACAGGTAAGGCTAAGATTTACCATGGGCATCTGGATTTTTGCATGTGATGGTTGTTTGCCTTTGCTTCTTCCGCAGCCATTTCATGAGCTCTGCGAACGCCCCTTCGGCAGGCCTGTGGGGACTGTGGCTATCGTGTTGAGTGTAGCTTGGGGTAGGCTTGACTTGCAGTCGGTGTAGTCACTTCGTGTACGCGCTTTTCGAGGCCTTGTGCGGAGCTCTGGCAGTTCCTGGAAGAGGCTCCGGCCGGCAGAGAGTGCTTCGCAAGCAGTAATAACAAGCTCAGCTCTTTGCATGTTTTCTTTTCGCAGAAATCTGAGTGTCCAAGTCATGTTGGGCTTGTAGCAGCGATGAAACAGCGTATCGGAGCCATGTTCAGCCGCGTGGCTGTTAGCGTACCAGCTCTAGGCGCAGGTGCTGCTATCGGTGGCTTTGTGCTAGATGCTTGGAAGCGCCGGCAAGAAGAACAAGATCGCGCTCGTATGGTTAATCGCGTGATCCACAATTCCTTCCACGCTTTCCAGCCCAAAGTGGAAATCCCGCGCGAGCAGGTCCAGGCCCGGTGTCATGCACAAGTCGTCAGCATCCGTGTCGCTTTGTCTTTCACCCTGTTGTGCTAGGTCACCATGAAGCGCCTGCTGGATCTGGATGACCGCTCCCCCGTGCTGATCTGGGGCAACCACCTGGCCGGTAAGAGCTTTGCCCTCTTCAAGGCTTTCGAACAGGCAGGCTTTCGCGAGGGCATCGTCCACGTGAAGCTCAACAGCGACAAGCAAATCGCAGAAGAAAAACTTTGCCAGCAGCTGGGTGCCATCGTCCACGTTGAGGCCGAGGAGGCCCTGAGGCGGGCTGCAAAGACGCTGAGCCGACGGCCCATCATTGTCCTGGAGATCCCCCGGGAGGTCAGCGACATGGCAGTTGTACGCAGTTGCTCTGGCTTCGCCAAGACATGGGGCTACGACGCCGAATTGGCGAAAGTCATCGTGTTGGCGAGCAGCGCCTCCATGGCCCTGAGCTTTGATGCGGACGCCCGGGAAGTTCGGTTCCAGGTCCAACCGCTGAGCGAGGAAGAGTGCCAGCAGGAGGAGGCGGGTTTGCTGAGCGCGTTCCTTTGAGTTTTTGTTTGGCTCTCCCTGACCAGGTCCAGACGTTCCTCAAGCACCACGGTGGAGCCGCCGCCGTCGAGCACAAGTCGGACCTCCTCCACCTCTCCGGCGGCAACGTGGGCAAGTTGGAGGCCTGTGCATTGTCTTGTCTTTCCAGCCTTGTCTTTGCGAAGGCTCGGTGTGTTGCGAAGCCTTTCCAAACCCGCAGGACCTGGCGCAGGCCTTGCGGACCAAGACCTTCGAGGAGGTCCGGCTCGCAACCATCGGCGCGCAGGACGGGGTTGACTTGAGCCTTTTAGTTTTGCGCGTTTTTGTTTTGCGCCGTCAGGAGAAGGAGATCCTGCGCTTCTTCGGCATCGATGCGCAGGGCGGCTTCGGCCCAAAAGAGGTCCCGGCTGCCAAGGAGGTGGCCCGCCGCGTGGCGGACGCCCCGTTTGACCAGTGCGTCAGTTCAGAGGACTTCGAAGACCGTTTCACCAGCAAGCATCTGGCGCAGGCGGTGAAGGCACAAGGTGCCCACTGCATCTATGTCAAGGCCACCACTAAGGCGGATGAGCGGTTTTGTGCAGCGTCGCCATCCGTGCACGCTCTGCTCAAGCGGAAGACCGATGCGCTTGAAGCCAACACGAAGCCCAAACGCCGAGGAATGTTTTGATGAAAAAAGGTTCCATGGAAGGGCTTCCACAGAATTCCGGCCAGCCAACTGCGCAGGGCCCCCTACTGCTTCCGGAATCCGATTTTGCGAACAGAACATGAAGTTGAGCAGGCAACAGCACAGCGAGCATTAGAGTTTGAGCGAGAAAGTGCAGATCTCGGCACTGGTCTCGGTTTTGATCATCAGATGTTCGTCTCAGTTTTGATGACATAACGTTGAGACAGCCTAGGTTGCCCAACAAGCATCAGAGTTTGAGTGAAAAGAGGGGCAAGCTGCCAGTCGATGTTGACTTACTCTGCGCAGGCGGCGGCAGTGCAGATCTCAGGTTCCTGTTCAAAGTGCAGACCTCTGAGTGCAAGTGCCCGGTGAGAGTTGTGGCTAAGGCAGGGCGTTACGTGTGTTGTTTGCCGCGTGTTGGGAGCTTGCGAAAACCCAAAGTACTCTAAGTACTTCCAACCAACTACTAAGTCCAACCTAAGTAAAACTCAGCAAAGTCTCCTTTTCTCCAGGCACGTGAGCCTTGAGCCAAAGTATTTGGCAAAGTAATGATGACAAAAGTAAACATGCAAGAGGGGACAAAAGTGCATGATATTTCGCACCCCTTGACTTAAAGCCCTGTGACTTTAAAGTCGCACTAATTAACCTTGCATGTTTCAAAGTTGAATAACCATGCAAAGTACTGAAAAAGTCAAGCTACTAGTTCAAAATTCCAGGATCAGAAAAGTTCAGTCAGCATCTTTTCAATTATCCTACCAAAGTTGACTTCGAAACCAAAAGTTGGGATGTCTCTAGTACAAAGTGGTTGGCGCCTAAAGCACTTCAAAACTCCTTTGCATAGTTTGCCTTAAATAAAAGTGAGAGTGCCAAAGTGAGTCTGTCCCATGAACGTAGTTCAAGGATCACTTGAACAAAAAGTAGAAACAAAAGCTTGAAGCAAAAAGAAAACGACAGCAAAGTCGACGCCCAAAGTTTCAGGTGACACTCAAGTGAATTCTGAATTCAAATCTACAGCATCGATCTGAAAAGTGGAACCAAAAAATTCTCAAGGGATTGCATGTTCATTATCAGAAAGTTGATCCCTCAAGTTCTTGTGTACAATCAAATGTCCCATTCTGACAAAGTTGCCATTGGAACGTGCCACAAGCGAGTTGAACTGATGAGCCATAAAGTTGAAGCTCATACTGAAAGAGTAGAGTGCGCAAGACATCACACTTTCTCTTGGAAACTCAAAGTAATCCAAAGTTACATTGACCTTCAAAAAGTGATCAATGTAGTAACGGTTCCAAAAGTTGGCACCTGATTGGACCAAAGTTCTGACAAAGAAGACAGGAAGTCTAAGTCAACCCGATGATGACCCAATCCAATGTTCTGGACATTGTAAATGCTCATACCAAAAGTAGTGAGCAACAAGGCACTTCGAGGACAAAGTCCAAACTGCAAATTGTCAGGTGCCTATGACAAGTCCTTTGCAAAGATTCTGGAAGTTGCCAAAACTTTAAAAGACAACGGTTCAGGCAATGCAACCCAGAAAGTTGTGCGCAAGTATCATTTGGTGGTTTCACCAACTGGCATGTTCCATAACGAAGTATTTCAGGAGCATGGTAAGAATGCTCCAATGATATGCCAGGGAAAAGTTGATCCAGCATGTCAAAGTGCCTGGCACCAGGACCAGGTCTTACGTTGCAAATTTGACGTCCAGTCAACATCAAATTCACAAAAGTTCTTGTATCTAGCCACTTATTGTAAAGTGGATTGTCAACACTTTCAATAGTTGCTGACATGGCTTCAAAGTGATGGCAAGAGTTTTGGGTGCTCTTCCAAAACGTGCAACAAGTAGAAGAGTAGATCTCAAAGTTTGACCTGCAAAAGTGCAAAGTTGGTCTAAACTCAGTTGGTCTGTCGTCAAAGTTTCACCCCAAAGTGGATCACCTGTGCCAGTTTCAAAGTATCACCGGAAAGTTGAACCCGATGCACTCCTGCAAAGCGGTACTAAGTTTCTTGCGCAACAAGTACCGCTCAAAAGGTGTAGAAGGCAAAGTCTTCCTCTTGGAAAGTCTCTGCCCCACGTCAAAGTTCTTGCAAGCAAAAACGTTGTAAAAGTCCATCAGGTTCCACATTAGAGTGGGTCCGGTGTGAAAGAAAAATAAGTCATTGGAATACACCACGTTGCCACATAAAAGTGGTTCCGGTACGTAGTCCAAAAGTGCAGCGTCAAAAGTCCAGTGTATTCATACAGCAAGATCAAAATGCCAGTGCAAAAGTAGCAAAGCGTGAAAGTTTGAGCAAAAATCGGTTCGAAGTTATCAGAACATAATATAGCATATAGAAATATCAGATGCCGTAACGTGGCAAATGAGATCAGAGCAAGATTAGGTAAGAAAGATATTTAAGCGCTTACGCGCGACAGCCGGCCAGGGGCCCAACTATGTTGGCCCATCGTGTGGCTATATGTTGGCCTATGTTGGCGTATGTTGGCCTATCTTGCGGGCAACGTGGGCCCATCTTGTGGCTATGTTGGCCTATGTTTGCCTCATGTTGGCCCATGTTGAGCCAAAAGATCCGAAAAATGGGAACAGCACAAAAACACCGTAAAACGCAGGATATTTTGATGGTCGGCGGCCTATCTTGGGGCTATGTTGGCCCATCTTGGGGCTATGTTGGCCCATCTTGAGGGCTATGTTGGCCCATCTTGAGGCCTATGTTGGCCCATCTTGGGGCTATGTTGGCCCATCTTGGGGCTATGTTGGCCCATCTTGGGGCTATGTTGGCCCATCTTGAGGCCTATGTTGGCCCATCTTGAGGCCTATGTTGGCCCATGTTGACCCATCGTAAACAACAAGATCCGAAAAATGGGAAAAAGTGGGAAGAGCACAAAACACCGTAAAACGCGGGGGTTTTTGGCCGGACCGGGTGGTCGGCGGCAGGGGCGGCGGCCCCTCTCTCCTACGGAGAGGAGAGAACTGCCGTACGGCAATGCCACGGCCAGGGGGCCCCTGGCCGGATTTAAGCGCTTACGCGCGACAGCCGGCCAGGGGCCCAACTATGTTGACCTGCTTCTTGTTGTTGTTGTTGTTGGTGTTGTTGCGGTGGTTGTGGTTGTGGTTGTGGTCGTTGTTGTGGTTGTTGGTTGTTGGTGGCTGGTTGGTTGTTGGTGGTTGGTGGTTGGTTGTTGGTTGTTGGTTGTTGGGCCCATTTTGTGCCATCTTGGTCCGATGTTAGCCCATCTTTGGGCCCATGTTGCGCCCATCGTGGGGCTATGTTTGCTCATCTTGGGCCTATGTTAGCCCATCTTAGGCCCATGTTGCGCCCAGCTTGGGGCAATGTTCGCCTATGTTGGGGCCATCGTGGGCCGATGTTGAGGCATCTTGGGGCTATGTTGGGGCATCTTGGGGCTATGTTGGACGATCGTGCGCGATGTTAGTGCAAAAACATGTTGAATGTCACAGGGCCAAAAAAACACTGTAAATTACAGGGGTTTCTGTCGACACGCGCACCCCACCGCGAGGTCAGGGGCAGGGGCCCAACTATGTTGGCCCATCTGTTGGCCTATGTTGGCCTATCTTGCGGGCAATGTGGGCTCAGCTTGGAGCTATGTTGACCCAGCTTGGGGCTATGTTGGCCTATCTTGAAGGCTATGTGGGCCGATCTTGAGGCCTTTGTCGGCCGATCTTGAGGCCTATGTTGGCCCATGTTGACCCGTGCGGAGCCAAAAGATCCGAAAAATGGGAACAGCAAAAAAACACTGTAAAACGCAGGATATTTTGAGGGTCGGCGGCCTATCTTGGGGCTATGTTGGCCCATCTTGGGGCTATGTTGGCCCATCTTGGAGCTATGATGGCCCATCTTGGGCGCTATGTTGGCCCATCTTGGGGCTATGTTGGCCCATCTTGGGGCTATGTTGGCCCATCTTGCGGCCTATGTTGGCCCATGTTGACCCATCTTGAGCCACAAGATCCGAAAAATGGGAAAAAATTGGAAGAGCACAAAACACCGTAAAACGCGGGGGTTTTTGGCGGGCAAAGGTGTCGGCGGCTGGGGCGGCGGCCCCTCTCTCCTACGGAGAGGAGAGAAACGCCTTCGGCTATGCCACGGCCAGGGGGCCCCTGGCCGGATTAAGGGCTGCCGCCCCTGCCGCCCCTGCCGCCGACCCCGGAAAAAAAAACCAGGAGGTTGTGACGCAACATTTTTTGGGTTCTTCCGTTTTTTTTTGTGTAGATTAGATTCAGCAGCTGGTGATGAGATATTATTACTGGGAAACTTCATACTCCAGTTGGAAATGATCTGTTGTTGTTATCTGCTCTCCACTTCATTGAAACACAATGCTTTGATTGGGTTACTGGAACCTTTAAGACTGCAATATGGGCAGGTGCAGATGAAAAGGCTTCAGTCTCTGCTCCGTCCAGCCCTCATTTCTCAACATGGGTACCCCGGAGATTGAAACTCAAATAGTAATTGTGATTGCTGAGGTCGTTTGGAAAGATTTCCACATACGTTGGTCCCGACCCTTTGCCGCATTTACAGCGCAGGGGGAAAATAGGAAATACACATTAGAATGATGTCCTTCAAACTTTGATCATGATATCTACAAACAATCCTATGATCATGCATACTTATATTGCATCTACTTTGGTCGTGTCCAAATATGAAAAGGAACATATGTTTGGCCACAAAAGTGAGCATGTGGTAGCGCAAGATATTTGGAACTAGAATCTGTTCGTCCCCCAGCGCAGCCCAGGAAATCAATTCTTCGGCTGATCGAATCTCTGAATGGGGCCAGCAGCAGCTGGGGACCGGGCAGGGCCCTGGAGAATTGGGTACATGGTCAACCCTGGCGTGCCTTTATTGCATCAACACTTTATTTGGTATCAACAATTATTTCTTATGAACTTTTTTGATGTATAATATCAAAGCTGATAGAACGCCATCTGAGGAAAAGCTCTTCCACTACCATTCCAGCATCTTGTCTTTTGGGGAATTATATTATCAATTGACATGGCTGGGATATAGCATACCCTCAAAATGGTTTGGCAACAAGTCAACAACAAACAAACAGCCCAGGATTGAAGTTCCGATATTTTATGAGGATGCCCGTGGACAGCAACGCACATCTGGGATGCATTACGTGTTGTTGCCACATGAAATCTTGGGAACCTTTTATCAGTTTGAAGCCGCTGACCTCATGATGAAATTAACTGGTGGCCCAGGTGTTTCTTGAATGCAATCTTTTCGAGGTGCACTTGGAAACTCAAGATATATATATATATACTCATACTCCCTTCATGATTACATTGAGGCTTTGGCGGAGTTCTGGTCGCATGAGCAAACTACAGAATGGTTTCGCAATCACCCTATTCTCAGAGTCACATGGTTGCACCATCTTTGATGTCTGAAACATACAAAAACGGTTGAACGACTGAATTGCGAATTACCACCAAACTAACATACACATTTTGGATGTTTGTCCACAGCCTCCCTCAATTCAAAACAAGTATTTTATCCTGCTCAGGTGACTGATCCCAACTTTGTCATACCCTTTCGTCTCTTCGGGGATGGGGCTGAAAGTAGCAGTAGCTTGGCCTCAAACATATGAGATCTCGAATTGGGTTTTTGTTCGATAGCCCAAAAAAATTATCCAACAACGTCGCCCCAGGAAAACAAAAGTTCGAAATCTTGACTCTGGTTCTGCCTGTGGTGAGCCACGCAAATCGAAGTTCGGCAACCATGGACACCAGAATTTTGCACCATGGCTCAACTAATGATGAGAGATGTTGGATGGGTGGTTACCTGCAGGCAAAGCCTATTTAGTTGAACTGAAGGGAAACAAAGAAAGTACAGTAATATCATGTGCCATTCCTGTGGTATTTCCCATGATCCAAGGATCTCCTGTATGAGCGGGACGTATTGCAACCATTATTCCAGGACACGAATCTTGGAGACAATTGCCTGGAGTTTTGAAGCACTTAGTATCTCAGCAGGTCCACGGTTTAAATTTTGACCCATGGAATTTTCAAATAAACACATTTTTTTTTGTTTTCCATACCCCCATGATTGTTTTTTTTGGTCTGTAAATATGGAGGTTTGTTTCCTAAAGCCGGGGCACCTTAAGAGCCATAGGTGCCAAAACTTAAAATAAGTATATTTGGCTGTTTTGGGGATACCACCATTTTTGGAAATCACTATATATATGTACACATAAATATTTGTTTATATACAAATACATATCATCATACCCGTATCTATCTATGTATATATATATATAAATCTATCTATCCAGATGGACACCAAATGGTGCCACCCCAATATATGCATAGGTACTGGCAAATACCCAAGATGTGATCCATGGGGACGCCCGTTTACGGCGCAATATCATCCTCACAGAATGCGTCTTGCTGGAAAGCGTATTGCTGGCAACTATGTGGGTGTACTGGAAGCCTTCCAGGGGGACCAAGACTTCATTAGAATTTTGTTTTCACCATCCCGCTGCATAGCTGCATTTTTGGGGAACTATAAGTATGTGGGCTTTATTCGATTTGCGCCACACCATTACATTGCGGATTTCCCAAAAAAAAGTTTTAATCACCAGACTATGCAACCTAGGTTTTTTTCCAGGCAATTTTGCTGCTATTATTGCAGGGCATGTCAATGGGTTTATCAAGATGACAACCCCCAGCTGAATGATTACTTGTACACAAATTTTGGACCAGCTGCTGCACACCGCAATACGAACCCTGATGTCCAAATTGGAATCTTTTTTGAGTTTCTATTTTCCACGCAATTCTTCTGCAATGTTTTCCTAGGAAAAGATACGGTACCAACAAATTCTTCTTATGAAATCATGGGGGCATTTTTGGTTTTCGAAATTCCCAATGTATAAAGATACCATTGGATGTTTTGAATGTAAGGCTTCAAGGATTTGGGACAAATACAAACCGATTCCCCAACTTAATCTGTGAACGGCCTTGCAGGTTGGTGACTATCAGTGAGTGGGCTGATGTCAATCCAGAGACACCCCTCATGAGGATTCCGGGGTGGTCGCCGTGGCGATTCTTGGCGCCAAAAACCATAGGTAGATTTGTGGTGCATCTCACCTCCATTGGATGAAGTTATCAACCGGAAATCTAAGTATTTTATTTCAGGTTAGCCCCATTTACTTTGAGTGATCCCCATTTACTTTGAGTGATCCCCATTTACTTTGAGTGATCCCCATGTACTTTGAGTGATCCCCACCAACTGACATATATTGTGACATTTTATTTGGGGCTCTATCTTTTCGAAGTAGCCCTTGCCTACCAGGAATCCTTCCAGACATCATGCATATATGCTACCTTGCATGTACGGTGGATGTGATAACCAGTTGCTTGCTGGACTGGAGCGATTCGGCTTCTCTGTTCTTCAATGGGTCATCTCGTGAGAAAAGGCTGACACAACTCTGGGAAAACTACAGGTCCTGGTGTGAGTCCCAAGGGTATGATTTGGCTGACAGGGCCTCCCGAAAGTTATTCTCAACAAGTGCATTGAAGCCAGAGGCAGGTAAGTATGTAGAAGTCTCCCAGAAGACTCTCAACGCTACAGCAGCACGGTATATGGCATTTTGGGTGGCATCGGTTTCCAAAAAAATCGCTGAATGGACAGGAGCTGATCCAGATATGTTATTAGGTGAAATTTCAGTGTTTTTGCTTCGAAAATTTTGAGATTATGATTAGATCCTCAAAAATTCCTGGTTTCAAATCTTAACGGTAGTTCCAAACATTTGGGGTTAAAAGTGATAAAGCAAGGATGTAGGGATTTTCAAGGGTCTCCACACACCGTTTTTGATTTCTGAAACCAAACATACCTACCCCTTCAAATCTTTTATGGTTCATGTCGACCTGCTTTGATCCAAGGTTTCGAGCTGGTGCGGCGATGGGACTGGCGGAGATTGAAATGGTGTGCCTACGTGGTGGCAGAGTTTTTTCACCCCCAGAATGGACACATTTTGAGTTTGGGTACTTGGTGTACAGGGCTGGTTTGAACAAGATGGGGGCAATAGCCCTTGAGAAAAAACAAACCAGATGGAGACAGCGACCAAGGGTCATGGTCTTGAACACCTGGTTTATGATTTCCACGGGCTTAATCCCCGTTACTGTAGCAATTTCCTCGATGAGGATTTCGTGAGAAGATCCAAAAAATTGGCAATTCAATCCAATGCCCGGTTTGTGTCGAAACATGTTCTCTTTAGATATGCTATCGCTGCCACACTGCGGTGGACGGATTTGAAGCCCGAGTGAGAAAAAACGTGCTGTGTTTGTACGGTACGCCATGGTTCAAACACCCAATCAGCCGACAATATTGATGGAAAAAGGGATCCCCCAAACCATATACAATGTGGGGCCCCCAAAATAGCAAAGTTGGTTTATAACTCCAGTAACTATGATTTAAGGTACATATAACTATATAGTTAATGGGGTTTATAAATTAATTTATGACTAGGGGGCCCCACATTGTATATAATTATCAGCATGTTTGAAACATGATAGAGATGTCTCGAAGGATCTCGAGGGCTCAGGGGTGCACATGAAACCGTGCAACATAACCTATAGCCAAATGGTATTTACAGGTCTAACCAGAACTGTGCCTCCCAGTTTCCCTGGACAGAAAAAAGTCCAGCTCTATTGCTATGTTGGCAATGTTGGAAGCTCAGTGAGCAGGATTGAGATTGTATATGCTAGGCTCAGCACCCAGATTGGCTATTGGCTCGTGTCATGGGACTGTTTCCGGCGTGAAAATATATAATGCAAATCATAGGGAGGGCTGGGTGGGGAACATGCTGCACCGAGCTACCACTGACACCGGCTGTTCAGCTGGCACCGGCTGTTCACATGACACCGGCGACATAGAAAGGCTGGTTAACCCTTAGTGGTAGGATCACCCAGTAGCGTTTTCAGTTGCGGCCTGAAACTGTCTTCAGATTACTCTCAGATCCAAGCGTCCAAATTTCTTGCCTTCAGGAAGTGTAAGCGTTGTGAACACGCCAGACCTATCAAGGACATAGGGCAATTCGCTTCAGCACTCAAGAAGCTGCGCCTGGCCAGCGAGTAAGAAAAAAAGTGGCCGCTCAAGCCAGCGCTTTAATAGAATTATTTTCAATCACCTCTGTCGTTGCAGCATTCCGTCATCACCATCGCTTTGCTCAGCCTTTTCTGCCCGACAGCTCGCGTAGACGCTCAACATGGGCACTTTTCTCGAGTCGGAAGAAGCACTGAAGGCCAGAGCCTTGGAAGTGGACCTCAGTACCGCTGAGATCCAAGCCATAACTGCAGGCAACGTAACCTCCTTGGTTAAGCTAGCATTCGCAGTTTGCCCTCCTGGTCAAACCCCAACCGACGATCAAGTAAAGTCCTTGTTGGGAGCGACTGCGTCGCCTCCTCAAGGCACCTTGGCCGCGGTGAAACGGCTCATTTTCGAAGCTCATACTCTAGTGGTTGCCGATATCAAGAACAAGGCCACCAAATCTGAGTTGGATAAGCCAGTGACCACTCTCGCTCCAGCCGAGAGGGAAACACGAATCAAAGAACAAAGAGCACGCCTTTCAGGACTGAGGCTTGGAGGGGAGGAAGAATGCGCCTATTCCTCATATGACTTGATTATGTCTATGTTGGAAAAAGACGCTCTTGTGCACATGCATCCCGAAAAGTTTGCAACCCGCAGGCAAGAGTTGCAGAAATCCAAGCCAAACAAAAAGCTTATCATTGACCAGTCGATGCTAGCAGTCAGAGAGAAGACAGCTGACCTGAGTTGTCCCGCCTCAACGGAGCTAGAGATTTCCAACGCGCTGAGAAGAAGAGCCTTGGCCTTTGACCTCACCAAGGCCTGCCAATACTCAATCATGAACAATGACCGCTCAGAACTTTTGGATCACCTTCACCAGCCGCCTCCTCCCGGCTATGCTCCCATATCCATTCAGCAGGTTTTGAGAGCTGATCGCGCTGCCTTCCTGCTGATGTCGGAGAAGATCACTAGTCTTTAAGAAAGATGCCAACGGAAAGCTGTCCCTCGAGCTTTTGCCAACCATCCTTGCACACAGTTCCGTCAGCTTTCACTTGCTCCCTCTTAGTGTCTCCGTCCTGCAACGACGGACACCTAAGGCAGCCAAGAAACATCAGAACCATCAGCGTTCGAGAAGCCTTGTAGCCACCAAAGGTAGCCTGAAAGGAGGCGGGCGCCCCAACAAAGGCCAAGCCAAGTCAGGCAAAAAGTCCAAAGGCGGGGGGCCCAATGTCCCTAAGGCCTTGATTGGGAAAGCTTTGGAGACCCCGTCCGGCGAACGCCTTCGCTGGGCATACAACCTTGGTGGTTGTGATCTAGTTGGAGACATTGTGAGTTTTCGCAAAGACAACAATACAGGAGGTCGCACCAAATGGAGCGTGGCATCCAGGGTGATTGGCCACGAGGGAGAAAGAGACATTTGGGTTTTGTGCGAGAACACCCCTGTACTTGTGTCAGCCCACAATCTCCGACCAGCGAGCGATGCAGAGGCTCTTGCACGCTCAATTCTCCAAGGACAGCCCATTGTACCTGCTGAGGTGATTGGAGAAGCTTAGAAGTTTGTTGATGCACGAACCAATGAAGACGAAAGTCTAGGACCAATTCCCGAAGAAGAAACCCCCGACCAGCTCGTTGACATTCCATATCCAGAACACATGGAAGTGGAAGATGATGAAGAAGACGTAGAAGAGGAAGAAGAAGAAGAAGAAGTGTCAAGAGCTGAGCCTAGCGACAGAAGACTGCCAACCAGACGAGAGAATCCAATCAGAAGAGTTCGAAGAAGGACAGATGGAGGAGTGTCGACCACAAGCGGTGGCGATAGTCCGGCTGCCTCCGTCGTGGCAGCTCCCAACGCTGAAATCTCGGCGAGAGCGGAATCTCCGATCGAGCCTGCGTCAGCCTCAGGACAACCATCTGCGTGGCCAAACCCACGCGATCCGCTTGATGACCCCCCAGTTCCACTGAGGATGCACTTCGAAGCGCAGTGGACTCGGGAGAGCCAAGCGAACACAGGAATCGTTGGAATGGTGATGGAGAAAGGTCCAACACCGATGGGACCAAGATCTCGCTTTGTATCATTCATGTCATCCAGGTTCGAGGAAGGACTTCAAGAACAAGAAGCCGAGCCTGAGAAAGCTGCTGAAAAGACTTTGAACTTCGAGAGAGAGACTCCAGAGATGAGAGCTCTGATCTTGGAAGCAAGAGGCAAGGAATGGGCCAAGTACATTAAGTACAGTGCCGCTGTCCCATTGCCGCCCGGTGAAGGGGGGGCGTTGATCGCTCAGGGACACGCAGTGATCCCGTCCAAGTGGGTGGACGTGGATAAATCGTACCATGCCCAGTGCCGAGATGATCGCATTAAGTCGAGGCAGGTCAGCTGCGGCAACTTTGAGGTCCAGGCAGGGTTGCGCACCGACGCCCCAACGTGGGATGCGGAGACACACCACCTCATAGCTGCGTTTGCGGCGTGTCACCAGGTGGAGTGTCGCTCAGCCGACATAACGTCGGCGTACTTTCAAGCTGCTGCGCTTGACAGGGTCATTGTAATGAGAATGTGGCGAGGTGGCCTCCCTGACCTCGAAGATGGTAGCCCCCTTTTGATCAGAGTACCCGTCTGCGGGTTGTGCGATTCGGGACGTGGATTTTGGAAACGGCTACACCGCGAAGCACGTGACTGTGGCTTCAGTCCGTCGCGAGTGTTTCAGGCCTTCTACTATTTGAATGTTCCCGTGGAATCCCCTGAAAGACAGAAGAAAGAGGATCAGAAGGAAGGGAAAGAAGAGAAAACCCATGCTGAATTGAAGACAGTGGCAGTGTTGACCACGCATGTGGACGATCTTCTTTATGCATACTTGCCTGAAGGAAAGGAGTACATGGATCGTTTGTTGTCACGTTTTGATGTAGGAACTCAGGAGACTGGAAGCTTCAGGTATTGCGGTAAGCAATTCAATAGCACTCCTGCAGGAATCACAATCGATGTTGACGACAACAGTCGCAAGGTGAAACCTGTGAGAATTGACCAAGGACGACCAAACACTGACTTGCTGACTCCTGGAGAGATCAGCCAACTCAGGTCAGTGGTGGGCTCGCTGTCGTGGATTGCACGACAGGGGAGGCCCGATATCCTTTACCTTGTTTCCAAGCTGCAGTCAGAGATAAAAGGAGCGACAGTCCAGACTGCGCGAGATGCCAACAAGTGCGTTGAGATGACCCTTGCTGGTTTGGATCATGTGAAACTTCGGTTCCCGTACCATCACATGGACTGGAACACGATGGGCGTGTTGAGTATCTCGGACGCATCTTTTGCGAATGAAGGCGGAATGCGCTCGCAACAGGGCAGATGCCATTTCCTGTGCCCAGTCAAGCAACTGAAGGAAACGACCAGGACATCATTCGATGTCTTCCCACTGGCGTTTTCCTCAACCACAATCAAGAGGGTGTGCCGTGCAGGCAGAGGCATACAGCTTGCAGAGCAGTATGGAGGCAGGTGACAGGTACAGAGCCTTGTTGGTTGAGATGAAGGGGTATGGGAACAGATCGTGAGACAGTGCAGCCCACAGCTTAGCTTGTCGGATTGCATGTCACTTGTGAAGCACTTGAACTCTGACATGTTGTCGCGATGTCAGGACAAGCGCCTTGAGATCGACATGCGAGCCATGCGCCAGTCATTGAGAGATGAGGACGATCGAGAGACATACCTCGTTTATCCTGATGGAGGCGACCGTTTGGCTTGGATCCACACAAGCACAATGATCTCGGATTGTCTTACCAAGAAGATGAAACCTGACTTGATTTTGAAGGTGTTAAGAGAGAACATCTACTCAGTCAGCTACATCCAGCAGCTGAAGAAGAAGTGAGATCTATCCCGTGTGCAAAATTTTCCAGAGAATTTGGCTTAGACCATTTCACACCTGTAAAGTAGGATGTGTGTGAATCTATGGTCGATTTTCTAGTTTGTGATGAACCAGGGTGTGAAATTACCCATGTTACCGCTGGCTTGATGCACTGGATGAAATATCCGTAGAATCGGAAACTGCTGGGTCAGTATGCTCGCTATCAACCAACGAAACCATGGGTTCAGAAAATTGAAAGAATGTCCATTCCTGAGCTGCCAATTGTTTGCTAAATTG